TATTATTATTTTTTTATTTTAGATGATTTTTTGTTTAATTGAAAACAGATTGTAAACGGAGTGTATGTAATACTAAGCTATATTCCACCCTTAAATCCTAAAGAATATAAGTCCTCATGAACAGTGTAACAAGAAAAAAAATCTTGATTGTCCATTTTTCTTTTTGTTTGCTTGACAAGTAATTAAAAGTTTTAGTTAAGCATCTAACATTTAAACAAACTGTTGGGATATTATCTTACTAATTTATTAAAGTAATTAATGACGTTTTTTGGAGTACTATAGCAACCAGGGCTGCTATTCAGTTTGTTGGCAGGAAAGAGGATGTTTGCTTGAGCAGGACTGAAGCTCATTAAAATCAATGTGAGCTGAAATTACACACACTGATTAAACAGCTGTTGAAATGAGGGTTTATGTATGCCACTATGTAGGCTATGTTCAGACAGAAATACTAGCATACTTTGTAGTGCACACTCAGTACTCAATCAGATTGGTAATTTTTTAATTTTTTAAATAGCCTGTGAAATGGGTGTGCATCATGTAAAGACACACAGCTCAAACACTGTAGCACTGATCTACTATACTGTCATCACGACCTTATTACTAGCATGTTTAATCAACAAAATTCATTTTATTTTTTTAGTGGTCCTGAAACACAGAGTCTGACCCGGGACAGAGAGTTACGCTCACCCTCCCCGCAGGAGGAAATGGGGAGCAATCCATAAAGAAATAATAACAGAGCTGCAGAGCTTTTCCATCAGCCTGTTTAATGCTCTCAGAGGTGCAGAGATGGATCTTGACGTTTGAGTTTGCACTGAATGCTTTGTGGTTCCCCCTCCTCCGCTTCTAGACGCTAGCCATTCCTGTATTAACACTTATCTTTTATATTTGACAAAATAATGGACATTTATATATATATATATATATATATATATATATATATTATATATACTTCAGATTGGTAATTTTTTAATTTTTTAAATAGCCTGTGAAATGGGTGTGCATCATGTAAAGACACACAGCTCAAACACTGTAGCACTGATCTACTATACTGTCATCACGACCTTATTACTAGCATGTTTAATCAACAAAATTCATTTTATTTTTTTAGTGTCCCTTTTATTCTTCTTCTAATGCAGTTTTGTGTTTTAAACATCAAGACTTTTGGTCATCTGATTGACTGATGAGTGACAGAGTAAAAATGTTAATGTACAGTTGATATTATTTAATTATATTATATTATTTAATTTAATTATATTATTTATTAATAATAATAATAATGTCATTACTGCTACTAATAGTTTATTGTAATTTATTATTATTATTATTGACAAATTACCTAAACTCAAAATATTTTTACTTTGAACCAAATAATAAAAAGACAATATAATAATAATAATAATATTATTATCAATAGAAATTATCTAAACATATAGCAAAATAATGCAATAGTAAAATGCGTTCCTTTGTATAATTTATTTACTACTACTAATAATAATAATAATGTTATTATTATTTTAAAGTCATATTGATATATATATATAATTATAATTCTATTATTATTATTATCAACAGAAATGATCTAAACTGAAAATTATCATTTTGCTTTAAACCAATAATAAAAAGACAATATAATATAATAAAAATAGAATTATAATGAATTATTATTTATTATCATCATCAACAGAATTGATCTAAACTGAACATTAACATTTTTACTTTGAACCCAATAATACATTATTATTATTATTATTATTATTATTATCAACAGATATGATCTAAACTGAAAAGTAACTTTTTTACTTTAAACCAATAATAAGTTATCATCGTCATCATCATCATCATCATCATCATCATGATCAACAACAGTAACAACAAAATTGATCTAAGCTGAAAATTAACATTTTTACTTTGAACCAAATAATAAAAAGACATAAT